TGCTAGCTGTTGGATTTGGGGTTTCTTCCAGGCCTTTTTGGTCTCAGTAGATGACTTAGCAGTCGTCCCGTCAGAAGGCATTTTGGAAGCTTTATCACTCGTGGAGTTCTAATAAAGTAACACTTCTGCAAGAGAGAATACGGGTCCCCTGCTGCTGCCCTCATTTGACAAAAGAGGCCCCAGAGAACACTGGTGATTTATTTAGAGGTTTCTTGGTTTTTAAAAAAGGAAAAAAAATGGAAAAGTGATTGCCTCTTTAGGTCCCTAATTTAAGGGAACGATGTGCCATCCTGCATATAATTTCACTTTAGTGTAATTTCACTGAGCAGCACAGAGGACTCATCAGATCACGGGCAGGATCCATGAATGCCAGCAAATTAAACATCTCTGTTTACAGGGATGGCGAACAGTAGGGAAAATGGCCATCAACGCGTGGCGTTCTTCTCAGCAATTCTTACGTGGGTGACATTGCTTCTCCTCCCTCAGATGGAAAACGTGGAGGCTACCGCATTATCCATCAGGGTAGAGGACTGAACATCTTCCCATCAAGAACCACAAGTCAGTAAATCTTACGATCTCGCTGCTGGTGCTGTGATTGAGCTAAGTCCTCTTTAACCGGGCGCTGTTCCTGAGGCTCTTGGAGGCATGCTCACTGTTCCTTTGAGTAAAATTGAGGGCTGACCTCCAGTTACAAGAACACAGAAGGAAGGCGCGTAAATGCTAATATTCTGTACCAGGTTCCTCAGAGCAGGGCTGTTTCACCCCGGCCTGTAAATGTTCAGTGCATGATTTAACTCAGTGGAAAAAAAGGTGGTCTCAGCTGGGCTCTCCAGCTTTCCCAAGGCTCGAAAGTCTCCTTGTTTCCAAAGCATGCTGGCAACTGCAGGTTGTGAATTACCTTTTTGTATCTATTTCTTAGAGGGCAGATGTTTAGCAAACAGTAGACTGCACACTGTACAGAGCACTGCTGGTTGGTCCTCAAACAGAATTGGGCTCTGTCTTTTAAGAAGTGATGGGTCATTTTATTTTGTATCTGCCTTACACTAAGTTAGCCAGTGATACTGACAAGTAGGCATTTAACACAAGATTCTCCGTGATGTTAGAGGTTAAAAGTCCTAACATCCTCTGCTCCTCGGGCATTAACTGTGTGCCTGGCACCTGGCTAAACATTTTATATGCGGCATCTCTTCGCATCCTCTCAACAGTCCAGCAAAGGTGCTACTCTTACTGTCTCCTTTCTATAGATAAAGAAACTAAGGCCAAGTGAAGGTAGACTAGTTGCTCAAGGATGTGGAGCTGTCAGTAGAGGAGTCAAGGTTTAATCCCCGGTCGTCCAAGCTCAGAGTCGTTGCAAGGACCCTGGCAGTCACCTTGTTCCACAGCCTCCCCTGACACGTGGACCAACCAGAGCCTGCCAACCCCGAGGCTTGCCTGGGCTGTCCCTTCTGGTTCCAGGCAGGGCTGGAAACATCTCCCACTTCCGCGCCAGCAGTTTCCACTACACCCGTGGGCCCTCTAAGCCTTTTCCCGCCAGCTGAGGCGCGCCCAGATCCTTTTCTGTGTGCTTACTGAAACCTAAGTGCACCTTGAAAGCACGTTTCCAAGACCCTCTGAGAAATGCCTGAGGAGGTCCGGAGGCCAAGGAGAGAAGTGACAGATCATGTGACACATGCGGAAAGTACAGAAATGGTTTTTAAAAATAAATGAGAAGTTGGAGAATTGGAAGACCAAGCTTAGCTGAGACTGAGTGCAGCAGCTGGGAGGCCTGGTCCCCAGTGTGGCACTGACCCAAAGCACAGATGTGACAGACCAGGTGGGTGGCTGACGTCAAGTACGCAGTTGACTTCAAAAATATCAAAGATTCATTTAGACTTGGAAACTTGCCAAGGAAAGAACTGCGATTAAGGAGAATGTAGGGTTCGCAGCCTGAAATGAAGCGATAAGTCATTCTTCAGGCAGTCGGCTGGCTTTGGCATTATCAGGAACATTGAGTCCAAAGGATCTAAAATCCCCATAAAACATGCAACTCAGGTGTTGTTGCTGTCGTTGTCTTGTTGTGCTGCCCAGGGCCATCCCAGTGGAACCAGAAAACTGAACCACTCGAGGACTCGGTAGACTTGAAGGACCGGTGTGGGATCTTTGCGGTCACATCAGTGAAGACAGGAGGGTCCTGTAGAGTTGACAGCTTAGACTGGCTCTCCTTCTGTTTCTAGTTCAGGTAGCAGTGAGCGCCCCACATACCCACGAAGCAAGGGCCTCTCAGGTTTGGCCGGAGGATCAGGCAGAGCAAGATGACGAGATGCTTAATGTTCTCAGCGTGTCGGGGGGGTTGGCCATGTGGGGCTGGGGGAAGGGGAGGGGGCTGCAATCGTAGTCCTGAGAGCTCGGTTCGAGCACTTGCTTCCCCTCGCGCTAGCTTTGGGGCCTCGGGCATGTCCCTAACACTCTCCGAGCCTCAGTTTCCTCATCTGTAAATCTGGTGTCATAAAATGGGGACTCAAAGCTGAGTGAAATACGGTACCTTAAAAGGCTCTTGGGACAGAGCGATGACCGTTCCTCTCTCGATGTGAGTTCCCTGCTTCAGCAGCGGCATTTCTTCTGAGCAGGATGCCTTCACCTTAGGAGAATTGAACCACCGGAACCTTCACAGTCGGCCTCTCTCTGACTCCTCCCTGCATTTCTCCTCGTGGAACAGGCGTTTCCTTGTGGACACTGCGGTCCCATTTGGGAGTCTGAGTGCCTCCATGGGCTCGGGGCTCGTGGCCTGGAGTCACAGTGCCACGTTGAGCTTGCTTCTGCCCCTCCCCACTGCCTGGCCTCGCGGTCCCCTGCGCAGCTGGGACAGGGTGTCACACGCTGGCCCGCGCTCCCAAGTTCAATTTAGAACAGGCCTGTTGTTAAAAACAGCTGTGAAAGGGAAAGCAGGATTTGGAGCTCCTTGTAGAAAGCAGTTTTAAGCAATAAACTAATGGTGATTGGATTTATGAGCTTCTCTGTAATTTCAGAGCACTTACCACTTTGAACAGAAATTCCTTTACAGATACATATGGCCAAAACCCTCTCCAGTCAGACTTTTCATCCTACAGTATTCATACAGTCTTGGTGGTGGAAGTCTTACATGCCTGTTCATAGGTTTGAACATCATCTTTAATGAAAGTTGGTTAAATGACATATACTTCACTTATCAAAAGCCCTGAAGCGGAGTTTACCCAGCGGGAGTGAGTGAAGAACTCAGCGCCCCCATTCACTTTGGGGTGGACTGGTCAGGAAGTGTTAACAGGGGTCTCAGGAGGGATTATCCCCTCGTGGTCTCAAAAGGAAAGGAGAGCCAGGCGTGGGTAAGTGTTGGGGTCTCTATCACAGTGGGGAGCAAACACATAAAAGGGGGGCCCTTTTAACGGACTTTAAAAAACTTCCTCATTGTCTGACAACTGAAATTCCAGCTTAGCCAGCTGACTCGGCTTCACACTGCTCTCTCTAACATCTTTTCATCATAGTCTTAACCATCACCATGTCGCTATGTTACCTGTCAGCATCTCTGACAAGAAGCCATGCTTGGAGAGGGAGCAGGAGGGGTCAGCTGCCCACCTGTTCTCCCTCCAGGCTCCAGCCCCCTTGCCCACCCACCCTTCCCAGCTAGGCCAGTGCTTCCAGAGCCAGCTGTGTCGGAACCTCAGAGGTCAGTGTTGGCTGGCTGACTGGTTGTAAGATGTACCTTTGGAAGTCATAGGCCGATGCTGCTGGGTCGAGCCCCTGTGTTTCTTGAAAGTTCCTGTGTGTTTGGGATTGTGTCAGGCACTGCGGAGCAGAGAGAAGTGTCAGAAATATACCCTGCCCTTTAAGAGCTCGCGACCCTAGCAGGTGAGCACAGCAGTGTGAGCCACGGCTGCCCCGTCCGGTGGGATGTGGTGATGTTGCATGAGGACCACCGAGAGGAAGGTGCTGGAAGCTGGGGAGGTTGAATTGGGAGAGAGCTCTTTCACGGGGGTGGCCAAAGGGCAGTGCGACTTGGTTGGGATGTTGGAAAATGAGCAGGACTTTTGCTGGGTGTAGGCGATGGGAGCGGCCCTTTCCGAGTGAGCTGACGGGGTTAGCAGAGGCTCAGAAGTGGAAAGATGCAGTCTTCCTGGTCCACGTGCTGAAAAGTGAACTACTGTTTGCACATCTCCGTCAGTGATGCCCCACGTGGCTGCCCCACGGAGGGGATGGAAACTCTTTCGTTAGATTTTGGCCGCTGGTTCCCTGAGGTCAAGGACTGCCTGTGGTCTTTCCTTTATTGTTCCCCTTAGCGCCTGGAAGAGTGTTTTTTATGCAGTGATTGAAACGCTTTTATATTTGTATGTGATCTGTTTGCAGCCCCAAGACACCCTTTCCAGTAATGATTTCCATGATCCTTCATATGATTGTCAAATATTATGCCTGCAGTTTCGTCCGCCTGCCCAGATGTTGGTCATTGTGGTAACGCAGCCCCTGCTCTGTGGGCCATGGTGACCCACGGGTGCTTGTACTTTTCGGGCAGGTGTGGTTCCCGCCGGCTGGGGAGGTGCCGGAGGCAGCAGGTTAGAGGGAGGGAGAAAGGAAACCCAGGGACTCGTCAGGAGAAACCCGTGAGCACTCTCGGCAGGGAAGTCAGGGATGGTGACAGGTTATTTCTGGACATTAAACAGAAGAAACTCAGCCCTCGAGACATTATGGAAATTAAATGATGCAAATTATGGAGCATGGTGGAAGAAAAACATAAAAATGGGAGGACTGTCAAGAAGTTTCAAATAAGTCTAATTAGTTTCATGGACCAGACCTCACTCAAAATGTTGGCTTGAGGTTGAAATGTAGTACTGACAGCTGAAGATGAAGCATGCTTGTTGTATTTCTGTTTCACACTGAAGTAAAGACGACACCCAGGCCATCTTTTTCCCCTTGGATCCTAGGAGGCAGTGCCTGTAAGTGCTGGAACCGTGGGTGGGCAGCGCCTGACTCTCCCCTGTGCTTTCTCCCTCCAGGGACCGGCAGAAACAGCCCTCCGCCCTATGGGTTCCGTCTCTCACCAGAAGAAGAAATGAGGAGAAGGCGGCTTCACAGATTTGACAGCCAGTGAGGTGGCCCAGCCTCATGAGCAGATGTGGTCCAGTTGTGTCATCAGCGCCCTGAAGCCCCCACTTAGTTTTAAACAAAAGCAGGGGCCACCGCGACACTCCCAGGTGACTCACGTCTTCCACGGCCCGTCATCCTCTGGCTACTGTGAGTCTAGATTCACAAACAGGTGGTTTGTGTCTTGAAACCAGGCTCGTTGGATCCAGCTCACAGCTCCCTCGGAGTGGCCCTCCTCCTGCCTTGTTCTCTCTCGCAGACAGAAGGTCAGCCTCTCCGTGTCGGGATGGGTTCCACACCCCTTTCTCTCACTGCCGACTCAGCGATGCCCCTGCCGTGTGGGTCTCTGACGACCGTGACCTCCGCAGGGAGGCTTGTGTTCACCAGCCCGGCAGAGCAGGCCCCCTTTCTGCTCAGTGCTTGACTTGGCAGGACGCTGGGAGCCATCCCTGGTCCTCTGGGCACTTTGCCATGGTGACCTTCCAGGCACAAGATGTGACTTCCATCCCAGGATGTCGTTCTGGTCTCCCTTGGCTCGGCCCCTGGGGCCCCACGTCTGGGCGGTGTCTGCAGTGAACCGGCTTAGCTCTTACGTCCCAGGGTGTTTTCCTGGAAAAACTTGAGTAAGACCTCGGATGGGAGACCACCCACTCACTCCACGACATATCAGGGAGCACCAACAGCCTGGGCTCACAGCAGCCTCTCCAGTGACAGCATCTGTTCCCAGAGATGGGACTCGTGTTGAACGAATCAGCAAAGCAGCTGCAGGTGCCCCGTGCAGAGGAGAGCGACCAGCGGGTTGGTCACTGCGAAATCCCTCCTGAGGAAGTATTTTTTTCTCATAAAAGTGCCTTTTAATTGACCACTGTACCAGCCATTTGTCCTACACAAGCACCCAAGACACTCCCCTAACCTACGGACTCCAAGTCACTCAAGGTGTTTCCTGGTGCTTGTGTTTTATGAATAAAAGGGAAAAGTCAAATATCACCAATGTCTTATTCACTGAGATATTTATGTTTAAAGAGAGTTATATCCAGAAAAGGATCTTCCTATTTGGATTGATCTAGCATTTATATCATTTTCTGATTATGAAAGTAATATATGTACCTTGTTATATACATAAATCAAACATCTGGAAGGAAATATTCCCATGTGTTAACAGGTGTTATTTTGGAAGGTAGAGTATGTAGGATTTTGCTTTCCGTTTTTGACAATTTTATACTGCTGTCTTTTTTTAAAAATTGTGTGTATGTATTTGTATTTGTATTATTTTTGCAATGGGAAAACCAGTTTATATAAGAAGAAAAATATCATCAGGAAAATGGACTTAATAAGTGTTGTGTCTCCATCACAGTATACGCAGAAATACAAAAAAATACACGGACGGTGTAAAAATCACCTGTATCCCCACCACTCCTAGGCACCCAAGGTTAACATTTGGCAAGTACTGCTTTCTTAGTCCTCTTTGCATACATTTGACAAATTCAGACACACCAACTGTGCAGCTTTACATCCTGGTCCTGATCTGAATTGATCCACGAGAGGCTTCGCCTCTTGCATGTAAATGAGCTAAGAAAAGCACCTGACCTGGGAGCACTTTGACCTGCCAGCTGGCACGGTGGTACCTGAGCTGTTCTGGTTAATTTGCAATCGATACAAAGCTACATGCGGCATATTTATAGTGTCAGTCGTACCTCTGCGTCTTGTCCCTTCAAACGTGTTGAAGTTTATCTCTTCAAGCTAAATGTCATTCCCCTTTCTCCCAAAGCCTTCAACTTTGACTTCCATTACCTCTGCTGGGAGTGACCTCATTTTCACGCACCATCTTCTCATAGCACCTTGGAAAGATGATTCTGTTATAACACTTAGATCTCCCCCTGTTATTATTTGCACACAACTAGAGAAAGACGTGCCTTCTGCACAGGAGCACGGATTGTGAACGGCTCTGGGACGAGGCTTGTATCTTGTTAACTACATTTTCCACCCTGCTGTCTCAAAGACTGGCTCCTGGCTTCTGGTAAGGGATTATTAAATGTTAGTTTCTCATCAAAGTGTTTTTTTTTCAACACATTAAAAGTCCAGCCACTGTATATAGAAGTGTATGTTTTTTACTGCTGTTGAGTCCAATCATAGCAGCTCCTGGCTTTAGTTCACTTGTCAGATATAAAGATGCTGGAATTGGATTTTGGATGGTGTAACTGTAATAATGTACACCTTCTTTATCTATGGAGTGTGACATCAAACTTTACACGTGTGGGAAAGTTCATTTTAGTTATAAATACAAACCAGTTATCTTAGCACAATGACGATGTGCTAAATCCCACAACAATGAACACGTTCTGGGAATTACTGTAACGACTTTGTTCAGTTAATAGGTTTGCCTGTAACCAATGCTTATTATTTTCAATTTCTATCTTTTTTTTTCCCTACAATAAGGAGTCTTCAAAGTTTTGCCGGAAAACTGGAATTGGGTTCAGAAAGACAAAACGAAAGCCAGTGTGTCCGACTAATTATCTCAAATAGGGAACAGGCATTTAGAGCTGGTTTTTAATTTGGTTTCTTGGCTTAATAGTAATTTGCCGATTGTTACACAGCTGGTTCCCATACTGTGGTTGTGGTCAGTCACCTTACGAGATCCCTTAACTCAGAATCTTTTCTTGGTTCCCAAGATGAGGGGGCGGTTAAAACTGCTTCTGCTTCATGACCTTGAATGTATTTATTGCCTGTGGTCCCAGAGTGGTAGACGATTGTTCAAGGCTTCTCCGTCCTTGGAGCTTCCTGCTGCGGAGGCTCAGACAGTAAATGGCTGGTTTTTGTAGGATTGGGTTCAGTCTACGCATTTGACACACATTCTGCTGCCTGAGAAGTGAGTTAAAGGGGTGAGATCTGCCGCCCACAAGGGACAGCAAAACAGGGAGAGAGTGGCAGAGGCTCCTCCTTCCCAGTCCTCATTTCCCTCGAGAGATTCAGTAAAGACTTGTAGTCAATTAGTCATTTAAAAAAACAAAACAAAAAAACCTGTCTTCCTTCCCCTTCCCATGGATCATTGCAGTCATTTCCTTTTTTTTTTTTTTTTTTTGTCCCCTGGTCTTTCATTTTAGAATCACAGATTCTGCTTAGAAGGACCTTAAAATCTCTCAGTTCACTGCTCTCAATACTTAAAATGCCTCTTCACCCAGTTCTGGATAGCTCTGCCACTTCGTCTTCCAGATCTACTTGTGAGATGCCACTCACCGTCTCTACCTTTTACCGTCTCTCAGTTGCCGACGGATGAAGGTCAGACTCCTTAGCCTCAACCCTGGGGCTCCAGCCAGCCTCCCGACCCCACCCCCACGTGACCGTAACAGAGTCCATGCTTCTAACTGGGCTCATCGTCCAAGCTGTGGGTTTCCTGATCCTGCGGCTTAAATGAAACTGCCTTTTCCTCTCTCTCGGCCCATCCAGACCCTCCCCGTCCTGCCCCCAGACGCCGCAGCCCACAGCTCTCAGCTCTTGTGGCGTGTTCCTCGGAGTTTCCTCAGAGCCACTTAGACTTGATGGTTATCCGGCAATGGGAGGGGGAGCTTTCTCTCTAGATTGTAAGCTTCCCGAGGGCAGGGACCACGACTGTGTTTCTGTGCATCTCTTCATAGTACCTTGAACAATGCTTTGGAATGTCTGGAATGCCAAAACCAATAAACATGTGTGGACTGAAACAGAGACGCTCATTTATACCATCACCAGTGGGACATGTGAAGAGAGCTGCCTGCTGCTGACTGATGCTGTTGAGGTTTTGTGTGTGTGTGTGTGTGTCTGTGTGTGTGTTCTTGAATCACATCAGGAAAGAATCACTTGAAGGAAAGCATTTGCCCATAGCAACAGACAAATTCAGGCCTTTCCCAAGGCTTCCTGAGGCAGCACGGTCACCAGATGGTGGGGAGAGACCTCCCTCCTCCCGTGTCTGAGGCATTTCTCACGTCAGGACTGCTCTGACTAAGTGCACAAAACTCAGGAAGATTCCAGGACATCCAAAGAGTATGACCAGGGGAGTCCCTATGGATACTGCCAGATGTGGCCACTGTACTTTGGCAGGAATGTATTTGCTGTGTCAGTGCGAACCTTTTTTCCCCTTCTGTGGTATTTAGAGGCAGCAAGACAGTGATCTTGACGTCTTGTTCAGATGTTCAGATGTTCAGATGAACTGGCAAATTTGAACATACGAATTACACTTTTTTCAAGGAAAACCAGACCACTGCTAACAGAAATCATCGAATTTGATGGTTATACCTATTGCTGCTTGGGAAGAGAATGGTGTAAAATCAGTAGTGTTGTGTGGCTTAAAGAGGCTCTTGGAATCTGGGGCACACAGAAACAAGGACAGTGACTCTTGCCTCCAGATTGAATGAATCATACTCTGCATTTTAGCAGATCCCAAGTGTTGATGAGCAGATAAAGATGTGAGGGGTGTGTGTGTGTGTGTGTGTGTGTGTGTGTGTATAAAGTGGGATATTATTCAGCCATGAGAAAGAAGGAAATCCCGTCATTTGTGACAACATGGTTGGACCCTAAGGGCAGCCAGACAGAGAAAGACAAATACCGTATGATCTCACTTATTTGTGGAATCTAAAAAGAAAAAGTCAAACTCATAGAAACAGGAGACTGGTGGTTACCAGCAGGTGGGGGAGGTGGGGAGATGCTGGTCACAGAATACAAGCTTTCAGTTATAAGACAAGTAAGCTATGGGGATCTAATGTATAGCATGGTGGCTATGGTAATAATACTGAATTGTCTGCTTGAAATTTGCTGAAAGGATAAATCTTAGTCTCACCACAGGGGAAAAATAAGAACATGGATGTAGAAGGGAAAAAAAAAACTAGCCTCAGGTAGTTTATAGGCACCAAAGTGCGTCTCAGATTTCAGTGTGCACAAAGGCATTTCAAGATGATCATCAGTTATCTGCTAAGACTGGTACAACCATCCTGGCAGATGGAGAACCCATCTCCTCCCATTTTCAGCTGAGAGCTGGAGACTCGGCAGTGACGGCAGAGATGCAGGATTGGCAGCAGGTGCTCAACAGCGTCCCCTGCTGGTTCATTGGGCTGAGTGGAGAAGGGAGGAAGGGACCTCAGCAGGAGGAATGGGTTTGAGGAAAACAACTTCCCTGCAGCCGCACACCCACCTTCCTTCTGCAAACAAGATGCCTGTCACAAGTGCCCGCGGCCAGCCTGAAGCTGCAGATGAGGAAGTAGCTCTGGTTACTCCTCATTTTTCGGGGGAGCAGAGCACATGGTGGGTCCAGGCTGCCCACGTGGGCGCCGGGCCAGATCCACCCTCTACTGTGTAACACGTGTTGTAAAGCAGACTGGTTGCTCTGGGACCAGAACAGCTTTTTACTCCTCATTGCAAAGCTTTTCCTACTTTTTCCAAACAGATAATGTTGATTACTGGCTGAGAATCTCATCTTCAGCTGATAAAATTATAAACTCTGGGTATATAGTCTTTGAGGAACGAGCCAGGATGGGCGTTGCTGGCAAGTGGGAGAACAGAAACGGCTAAGCTGGGCTGGCGCCGCAGTGCCTGAGTCTCCAGGTAAGGCCTCCAGACGCTTCTTTCTCCGGCTTGTTCCCCTGAATGGTGGCCCTTGTACATCAAGGGCCTGGGAGGCCTGGCATATGGATCTGGTCTCCCCCAGAATCACTGTGATCTCTTGTGTTCCCCACTACCCTCACTCCAAGAACAGCTTGAGACGGTCATCAGAGCTGGGTGGGCTGTCTGAGGCCCTGTGACACCAGGCTTTGAGTGATGGCAGCAGTTTGGGGCCTCCGAGGGACATCTAAATGGGACCTTCTATTTTCTAACCAGTCCACCAGTGGGGAACCTCGTGGGAGGCAATTGTGCAGTGGGTAAAACACACTCCAGCAACAGACAGACCAGGGTTCAAGTTCTACTGGGTGCTGACTGTGTGACCTTGAGCAAGTTCCTCATTCTCTCCATACCTCAGTTTGCTCATCTGTAAAATAGGATAGTTGAGAGGTTAAGGGGAGTCCCGATAGCCAGGTTCATACAGTTCCCATCACATAGTAGGTGCTCAAGAAATGTTAATTGAATGTAATTATTTATCAAGTGAGAGATTAGACCAAATGCCACTGAAATTCCCTCCTACTTAAAAAACATAACTCCACAAGGCTCTGCACGACACCAATCCCCAGCTCAGCAATGTGGGCTCTCAGAGAACATACTGCCCCTCACCCCTCACTTTGGTTACTCTGGGTATCAGTAACGGTACCTTATGTTTTATATCTCTTTGCATTTACATTGCTTACTTTTAATTCTTATAGTATCCCTATAAAGCAGGTGTCTCCTTCTCCTTTAACGAATGGGACAGACAGCTGAGACCCACAGGGTGCGCCCCGTGCCCATGGTGTGCCCCTGCCCACGGTGCACGCAACTCAGCAGTGGTTTTTACTGACCCTCCAGCCCTGAGGCCCGGGTTCACATCCATCCCCCACCCCATCACTGTGTACAGGACAGTGCTTCCTGGAGCCTCAGAATCCCATGCATTTTCTAAGCCAAGGGGGTCATTTTCTACCCCCCTGCCCATGCTCGTCCCATTGGCAGATCACACTTCAACCACGTAATAACCTTTCCCGCTGTCCCTACGAAGCCAGCCCCAAGGTTGGCCATATGACGAGGTCGGTAGAACAGTAAAGTCACTTTGGCTTGAAAGAAAATTAACGCACCAAATTAAACACCGTTGTTTTTGGAGGTCATCACAGAATTTTATATATAATAAGTGATATTATAAATTGTAATACAACAGAGATTTAAGTGTCAATAGCAGACCAGGCATTCTGCAAATTTTACATGTTGAAACCTTTAACTTTACAACCATAGGTTAGAGAAAGGGAAACAATTTATCAGACACATTTCACATTGTTTTCCTATGAATCATTAAATATTTAAGCACCATAAAATTCAAGCATCTCACATGGATGTGGCAGCCAGGATTGGTGGTTTAAAACGCATTATGCAGAGTCTTTCGCAGATAATAACGGTGACGATTGCAGAGCACTGATTTTTAATGTCAATTGTTTTGTTCCCTGCAGAACTTACTGATAATGTCCCTGCAGGAAATTGTGATTTTGTGTGTGTGTGTGTGGTACAGTAACTTTCAGAACTGAAATAAAATAGCACTCCCAAAGACATGAAGAATTGGCCTGGTATAAATCATTCTAATCAGTAAATTCACACGCCCTGTGAGAATCATTACGTCATTCTCCTATTAAAAAAATCCCCAGAAATACTTTCATATGCAATGGCTTGTTTTAAGTAGAAGATGTGACCATGGTAAATGTATGCGGACTGCTATGTGCTAGACAGATAATCGAACTTAATTTTCATTGCAAGAGGAGGTGTGATGTCCCCTTTGTAAACGTGGAAAAGGGGGCTCAGAGAGTTGGTGTAACTCACCCAGGGTAACACAGCTGGAAAGCGACAGAGCTGGATTCAAACCCGGGTTCAACCAACTCTAAAGTTCCCATCTTTCCACTATTCTTGCAGCCATGCCAAATAAAAGTCATAACTATCAAATTAATCTGAGGAGCCGATAGAAACACAAAGCTAATGTAATTTCTTGGAACACACAGAATGACTTGCTTTATTATAATCTCTAAGAGGCTCAAAATAAAATCCTTGGTAAAATCCAGTTTTAGTGAACTATTCTGTTGACCATTTTCCTGAGCACAAATAACATGTATACAGACTTGGTTGAGGTGAGTGTGCGCTGGGACGCTTGTCCATCATGGGGGGTACAGGTGGCAGCACACATTGAGTCAGATCACAATTCAGTGAACAGTCTCATTGTCAAGTCTCTCAAATCTTATTTCTGAAATTTCAGTTTATGGCAAAGTAAGCTATTTTTCAGGAAAGGGTGACGGTTAAAGTTTATCAGTTGGCTTTCCGTCAATAGTTCTAAGAGGAGGTGGTGGGCGGGCAGATAGGTTGTCATGTTAAAATATTGTGAACTAAGAAACGGTTTATCCTTGTAATTAGGTTGTTGATGAGAACCCTAGACCCAGAGCTGAACATCTAATGCCTAGTGACGCTTACTGAATTGTCAGTGAACAAAGAATTAAGTGTTAACAACGGGCTCGGCTCTGCATAGGCTCTGGGCATACAGGGGTGAGCAAAGCGTGGTCCCTGCCCTCGCGGGCTCACATTTTAGCAAGAGAATGAAGGAGCAGTGGGGCAAGCATGAGGTGGTGGACAGGCCCACGACCGGTCCTGGGAGCAGCAGAAGGGAGGCCACGTCTCCTTGGGGAATTTCACTCTCTCTCCTCCCTGCCAACTCATTCAGTCTAAGATAAGCAGCTGTCTGCCGGGTAAACTTATCTGAGGGGCAACTTCCCTGGTGGAAAGAGCAGGGCAAAGTCACGGGCAGGAGCGTGCCCCTGTGATGAGCAGAGGGCAAGCTGCGGGCAGTTCCCGCAGGACTGTCACCCCAGCGGAAGTCATCTGGGCTTCAAAGGCAGTGCGGCCCCTGAAGGATATGAAGCCAAAGAGAACGAAACAAGTTTGCATCTTAGAGAATGATGATGGGGATTTGAAGCTGGAAGCATCCGCTGGGTGATGCCTACTGCAAGAACAGAGGCGAAAGACAAAGGCTGTGCTATAAACAGGTGCAGTGAGGCAGCAGCCGGAGGGAGCAATCCACAGGAAGCAGTGACCTACGACGTATAGGTCTAGGCATCTGAGAGGAGAGAGGGAAGCTGGGGAATATGAATGGGGCTCCACTCGCTGAGAATACAAACCAGGAAGGAAACATCCCGTCCCTCAGCTCGACACCCAGAGCAACCCCCTTTGGGCAATCCAGAGGCATTCCAGCCAACCAGCTGGGGGAGGGGGCGTGGGGGAAGGAAATTTTAAGGCTAATCACCAGTAATGGATTAGGAGAGCAACTCTGAAGCTTTGTTCATCCATCAGAGAGAAATGATATTTCAAAGAACATTGATATGTAAGCAGGTAAAGAAAATAACGGCTTAAAATAATGTGGTCCCCCAAGCCAAGTTATTATTTTTTTCTGTTGTGTTGCTTTCTTGGCCATTTAAAATAATTTTTCAAAATCAAAAGGCAGCGTTTGTCCTGCATTTAGAGCGGGCCCTTGTGATATCAGGATTCTGAACAGTCTCGTACACTATCCCAGACTCACTGTGGAGTAACTTGCCCACTTAATTCAGCCTGTTTTTTTTTTAAATTTATTTGGCTAGCTTGTTAAGATAATATTCTAACACTAAACTTAAAGTGTTTAAAATAGCAAGCAAGATATATTTCTTAATGGTCCATCAATCACCCCTTACCTCTTCCCAGAAACTGTTCTCAGACCAAATTCATGAATGACCCAGATGGATTTTTAGAAGGCTTGAGTTTGAGTAATCTATGATAAAACTTTTGGAAACAAAAAAGTGTAATTATAAATAAGGTTGAAATTGGCTTAAATTTCAGGTGTACAAAAGTATTTAACATGCCCTAGCAGAGCTTAAAAATTAATCAATAGGTCAAATGGACTAGGAAATATTCTGGTACATCAAGAAAATATTTCATCTTAAAATGTACACTTTTTTTTCTTTTTACCAGAAAGTAACCTTAAAATAAATTGCCATTCTGAGGGGCAGCCCAAAGCAAGATTCATTTGAAATATATTCTGCACGTAAGAGTACACTCTCAATCAACGTTTGGCAAGAAGAACATTTCTTATAAACAAGTTTTAACTAAGTATTTCTTAATTATTTTTGAGTGCACTGAAACTAAGCACTAAAATGAATGTCACTTTCTCGTGAGAAATTTCTTTAGTTTTCTCTAAAATAACACTTTTTAAAGTGAGGAAGGCAAGTTTCCTAAAAATCTTTTTCCAATAAGCCTTTTGATTTTTAGCATTAGACCCCTGAATTCCTGGCAAAATAGAAAACATATCCTTTGCAATACAGAAAACTACTCATTGTAAATTGACGTATCTTCTAAACTTTTATAAAAGATGCCAAATGTCAAACTGCTGCCTTGGTCTAATACTGATATAAAATATATGAATGTTTTTCAGGTTGGAAAAACTGGATACTCCTGTAAAGGACCAATAACAGGAACATGAAATTCAAATTGTAAGTTGTCTTTGTTTCATTTAAAATAGTGCCAGGTCTTTCTGGTGGGGTGACGATGACTTAAATGAATCTTCTTATCTAAGTTTAATTAAGTCGGTCCTTAATTTTCTCCCAAGTGCATAATGATAGCTCTGTCACTTCCCCATATGAGATGCTATTATGTGGATGGAGGGAAAGTGTCCGTTGCGGGAGGTGAGGCAGCTCTGCGGGCGCTCTGGCGGAGGGGAGGGAGATGCTTTGTGTGAACGTCACCGCCTGCGTGAGCCCCGTGTGGTTTCCATCCCATTAGCACACATGCACGCTCAGTGGACAAGCCAGACCCCGACTGGGGAAAAGCGCTCTGTTTGGAAGTTCACTGCAGTGGGGAGTCCATTTTTGTGAATCACTGCCTTAATATTCATTAATAGCTTTTAGGCTCTTAATCCCTTATTGAACATATTTTTTTCCGTAATTGCTACTTTTCCAAAGGGTTGCCCAAGTAGGCATTTCTATCCTCTGAAAAATGCAGAAGAGAACATAATGTTTTATGTTCATCTGCGATGTGCTTTATGCTAATGTCGCATCTCTGGGATACAGCGACCGAGGTCCTTCCTGGCATAATGAATCATTCTGCTTTGAAATGAACTGTTAAGGCTGGCTGCGTGGATTTTTTTTTTAAATCTCCTTGGGTCATGGTTTTACAATTATTTAAAGTGCATGGGAAAAACAGATTACGGAGGCAATCGTTTTGAAAGGTAGGAAATCTCTACTTTCTAGTTTCATTTGTTAGCCTATTTATTTTTTCCTGTAAAATCCATCCAGAAGCCCAATGTATTATATAGAGCAATTGACTTCAATTGTTTGAGTTGCTATTAACCAATGAATGAGTTTGCAGTAATGTAATTTGTAACGTGGCCTTTATCATCTCTGAGCCTTCCCCTGAATTAGCATACCTTTAAATAAAGCCAGCGTTTCCACCATCCAATAAAATAAGAATGTCTGGATTTCATTGGGATTGGTAGGTACAAACAAATCCACGTGTGTACCACTTGCTCAGTCTATCCTGAACAAAGGAAGGAAATACAGTACTGTGGGAATAACCACCTCGAAACAGAAGGAACAGCGGGAACAGGGGTCTAAGATGAGCACCATTGAATCTCTTAGCACAGCCCAGGATGCCTTAGCCCCCTAGGAAGTTGGAAGTGTCTCTTGACCACCTGACGGTGACCTGCGGGCGTCTAGCTCTGCTTCACACAGACTTGGCACCTGCTGATTTTCTGGCGCTGGGCCTGGCCTTCTTTCAAGGTGTCTGGTGATGGTGCCGAGGAAAACTGCAAATCAGGTTTCACCGTCGTCAGCCAGAAGCTGTACTTATTTGCAAAAAAGTGGCAAGTTCCCTGCCGGCCTTGGCATTCAAGGAACGGCGCGGCTCTGAAATCCTCCAGGCAGCTGCCGGGTGACATGAGGGCCTGCCCGCCTCCTTGGTCCCCAGCTCCTGTGTGCTGCCCGGACGACAAGAGAGGATTAGGGTTCAGACACCCGCAGTGACACGTCTGGGCTGGACTGGACATCCCTCCTAAAAATTATTCCAGGAAGCAGCAGCTATGCTCAGCTTAGGGAAGGAGGCCAGGAGATGTGCGGGGGGTGCACGCAGAATGAAACCACCGGCACTGAGAGATGAAGCAACTCCATCTTCTAAATTCTACCGAAGTGATAAAATTGAAAGCTGTATTCGATATCTTATAGTAGCTTACGGTGAAAAAGGATATGAAAATGAATATATGTGTATTCGTCTATGACTGAAATACTGTTCTGTACACCAGAAATCGATACAACATTGTAAATTGACTGTACTTCAATTAAGAAAGTAAAAAGGAAAAAAAGCATAAAAATAAATAAATAAATAAATAAATAAATAAATAAAACAGAATAGAATAGAATAGAATAGAATAGAATAGAATAGAATAGAATAGAATAGAATTAATTGGCATTAAAAAAAGAGAATGGCCTGCATCTCAACAAGCTATGGGATGTGGTGGCCTTCAGGACCGCCTGTCCTATGCTGTCTGTCTGTACAGGAGTCACAGAATTTCTGTCCAGGCTGGAAGGAAGGGGCGAGGGAGGGGTGTTACAGGATGGTGCGCTCACCATCAGGAAAGAGTACCCGATCCAGAGGCTCCTCCAGGCCCGCGGACACGGCGGGATGCTCTGGTCCTGGCTGTGCACCGCCACGGCCTGCGCGGGGGCCTCGCACACGGCGCAGCGGCTGATGTACGGCCGGATCTCCTCCTCCGAGAGCGGCATCAGGGGCAGCGGCGCCGTGCTGGCCAGCCAGTAGGACTTGTCGTTCCTCCGGGCGTAGTGGCACACCTGGTGGATGTTGCAGTAGGCGAAGGGCAGTGTGCTGAACACGGGAAGGCACGAGCCCGCCAGGCCTGGGGAGGGAAGGCAAGGTGATATAGGAGCCGCCTGTCCTGGCACCACCTTCCACTCGCAGGCCATCTGGGGCACACGTTCCGGCGCCTGGAGGCCCTGGCCGGAGCCTCCCTCCGTGGCCATGAAAGCGGGTCTCACCGGCCAGCCCTCCTTCACTCAGCCGCTCCTCAGTTGTTCAGGAGCCTGGCCCGGTGGGGGAGCGGAGTAGCGAATGGGCAGTGGGCCAACAGCAGGACAAGCTGCATGGAGAAGGTTGGGCCCCCGGGGCTCACAAGGAGGCTGGCTGGCTGAAGTGACTCTGAGCTAGGACCTGAACAATGAAAAAGATCTGGCTGCTTTTGGAGACTGTGGTGACCGAGCCAAGGAAAACCCTATTTAGACAGCAGTAAAGAGGGCCAGGGATACCAAGAAAGCACGGAGCTCAAAGATCTCAAAGAAGTGCAGTGGAACAACAACAAAAAAACATAAATACAAAACAGAAACAGACTAACAGACATAGAATACAAACTTGTGGTTGCCAAGGGGGCGGGGGGTGGGAAGGGACAGACCGGGAGTTCAAAATGTGGAATAGATAAGCAAGATTACACTGTATAGCACAGGGAAATACAAGATCTTGCAGTAGCTCACAGAGAAAAAAATGTGACAATGAATATACGTATGTTCATGTATAGCTGAAAAATTGTGCTCTACACTGGAATTTGACACAACATTGTAAAATGACTATAACTCAATAAAAAAATGTAAAAAAAAAAAAAGAAGAAGAAGAAGTTCAGCAGAGGGAAGGTGGGGAGAGGACGTCTGTGTCTGTCTCTAGGGTGTCCCGAGGAAAATCAGGCCAGAGGATGCAGGCTGTGTCAGTCTCGTTAAGGAGTTTGGACCTTATTCCAAGGGCTCTGCAGAGCGTGGCTCGACCAGGGCAGGAGAGGTGGCCCTGGGGTACACATGTAAGGAGCTGCCCCTCTAGGCCTGCACCCTGTCACCTCCCTTACTGACATCAGGGCTCGTGGCCCAGTGAGAGCTGTGACAACACTCACTCCACCACCAACTGTCGCCATTGGCACAGCCCTCCTGCACCCGCTTGTTCAACCATCATTATTCTGGAAAGACCGTGTGCGCTGCACCCAGGTACTTACGCCTCAGCTTACAGTCAGCTCCTGTGGCTTACAAATCTACCATTGAAAACTGACTAGTAATGACTCTCAAAAAAAAAAAAAAACCAAGGGATGACTCTCAAAATAAAGTTGTGATGTTGCTTAAGGGTGTACGTCTGCAACCAGTGGGTAAATAAGTCCTCGTGATCTAACGTGCAGTGTAATGAATATAGACAATGGCATTGTATCACATCATCCCATTTGCTGAGATTAGATCTTAACTACTCCTACTACAAAAAAGGAAATGATAATTACATGATACGGGAGAGGTGCCAGCTATCGATATGATAGAATCGTATCGATACAATAATACATGTACCAGATCAGCATCTTGTACACCTTGAACTTACATCATGTTACATGTCAAATGTATTTCAATTAAAAAAAATTGGAGCAGGTTGAGGAGTTGGTGTTGGCTAATGCCACAGCATATGATCGCCAGGGGGCTATGATGCACCATTTTACTCCTAAACATAGGAACCGACCATGTCTTGATTAAATCATCAACACTGGGGAAACAAAAATTGCATTTTATATCAGAGTTACACTTAACTTACCAAGGAAAATTATTTTTTAACCAATAATAAGTAGTCAGATAATAATAATTACAGCCAGAATGAACTTCTTTGGCATCTCATTGCATCATTGGTTTAACAGAATTAAAGTTCTTAGAAATTAATATTAAACTATTTTTTAGTTGAGAGTTAGCAGGGTAGTTAAAGATGAGTGATCATGTAAGATGATGGATCCATGAAATTAACTCAGAAGTTTTAAGCCATGGACCTGGTTGGCCATGTGGCGTCTACATACCAAGGTCTTGATTGTGAGCCTTCTCCTGTCCTTCCAGGTATAACAGACTATACCCCGTCCAGAGCCTGGGCATGCCCGCGGGGCAGGTGGGTTCTCCATCCGTCTGACTGTGGAGAACCAGGAGGAAGCCGCTGAGGTACCCGAGGCCAAACCCTTTGGGCCCAGGATCCCCCGGGGCCCCAGGAGGGCCTGGAGGAACAAAGAAACATCAGTAAGTAAAGGCGGTTTAGGGAGTTCAGTTTAACAGCCACTTCTGAGCATCTCTGTCTGGTGCTGTGCCAAGCACGCAGGGACCAGGGAGGAATGTCCCCGTCGCCCGACTGCAGCGTCTACAAACAGCTCGTTCAGCAAGTGCCCGTGCTGTTCCAAGCACCGTCCAGCTGCTTGAGCTACATTAGCATAAAAACAGATGAAGACCCCTGCCCTCCGAGAGCTCACACTTCTACCTGAAGAAGAGAAATGACAAACAACAAGCATCATCAAAAGGTAAATAATGAAACTCTTAGAAAACGGCAGGTGCTGAGAAGAAATGAACTAGAACAGGGTACACGCCCCGTGTAGGGGCTCCCCACCTTCCCCGACTAGACTGGCAGCTGCTCATCCAGAGAGGGGGACCTCCACATCGGTCTTCCTGACACCCCCCAGACTCATCCCATGGTCCTGCTTTTGCGTCACTCCCATCCTAAGAAGGACAAGAGCTCAGAATCCACATGTTTGGCCTTGGAGCTCTTCTTCATGAGGGAGGTGGAAGGAAGGCCTCGTTCTAGAGATCTCGTTGGTAGATGGGAAATGAACAGAGCGTGAGAGGGTCTGTCTCCTTTGGCATCTCTGAGGGGCTGGCCCATTGCAGGAGGCCCGTGGCGACTTCCAGTTGCTGAGAGCAACAGGTGAAGTTAGACTCTGAGATCAAAAGGGGTATTTTTTTTAATTGTTTCTCGAAGACGGGCAGTTCTTTTTATCTATACCGAAAACCAGAAGTTACAGAGCAGTGGCTTGTGGACTGACTCAGGCCTGCTCACGTGTTTTGTTTGACCCGCCAAGATTTCCTGAGTTAAGGTCTCAGGCTAGAAAAGCAGAGTGCGGGGAACACTGGGCCCGCATTTCTGCATGAAAACCATCTCCACGTTGCAGAAGCTGAGCTGCCGCTTTCTGACCACAGCTTCCATTTTCCTGCAGCTCCCCAACCCCCGGTTCACCTGCTTCTCATTACTGAAATCCTTCTCATTAAGAAAGTCCTATAAAAGTCTTTATAAATTTATCAATGGCTTATGATAAAATGAACTCAGGAAACCAGAGGCCAAATGATTCAACCACCCTCGCCGTCCCTAAGATCATCACAGCCTCTCAAAAGTGATCACACAGCCAATGCCAGGCTCTGCTCGAAAAAGTGAAGAGTGGAAATGGCTGTGCCTTTTATGGTCATGTATAGTGTTTTGGGAAAATAATGGACACAGGGCTTTGTTTTTATGATGGTTGAAAATCAATCAGAACATGGAGGACACACCCCATTCTGTTCTGGAGGCTTTGTCTCCCTGAAGCCTGATGACTGGGTGTCTAAGGCCAGGCGTCTGTATGCAGTTGTCAGCTCCTCTGCGCCAGAGAGAAGAGGAGCCGAAATTCCTTACCTGGTGCTCCTGGGCAGCCCGCTTCTCCCATGTCCCCTTTCTGTCCCGGAGGCCCAGGGAACCCTGGGAGGCCGTCCTCGCCCCTCCTGCCATCCGGCCCAGGCTCCCCTTTGCACCCTGTGGGAAAGTTCATGATGGTAGTGGTGACAACAGTGTGACCTCTGCCAGGCTAGCATTCCCCATGCCAGCCCTGGGCTTCCCCTGCCCACCAGCCTGCACCAGGCCTGCACTCATCTCATCCCGCAGCTACGGGAGGTGGGGTGATGCCCTCTCCACTTGCAGCGGGGGTAACTGAGGCTCTGCGAGGTCAAGTTACTTGATAAATTAAGGCCAATGAGCCAGTAATGGGCAGAGGCAGGATCTGAAGCCAGACCAGTGAGGTGATAAGTGAGATGTTTTCACATTTTCTTCATATTCTTTTTTTGTATTTATTTTTTTTTTAGATTTAAAAAAAAATGAAGTATAGTTGCTGTACAATATTCTGTAAGTTACAGGTGTGCAATATATAGTGATTCACAGTTTTTAAAGGTTACACTCCATTTTGTTTTACATTAAACATGTATAGCTTTTGTAATTAAATATTATCCTTAATCATGATTTCTTTGGAAGTCTGAATGGAGTGAATAAAACTTAATGCAGCCAGTTGAGAGTCAAGTTAAGTTTAAAGCAAGAATAGCAATATTTACAAACAGCTCTTAAATGCACCCCAATGTTCATAGAAGTACTATTTACAACAGCCAAGACAGGGAAGCAACCTAAATGTCCATCGACAGAAGACTGGATAAAGAAGTTGTATAGAATATGCATACAATAGAATATTAGTCAGCCATGAAAATGAAAGAAACTCTGCCACTGCAGCAACATGGATAGACCCAAAGATTTTCATACTAAGTGAAGTAAGTCAGTCAGAGAATGACAAATATCATATGATATCAGTTATATGTGGAATCTAAAAAAAATGACACAAGGTGAGGGGTATAGCTCAGTGGCAGAGCATGTGCCTAGCATGCACAAGGCCCTGGTTCAATCCCCAGTACCTCCATTAAAATAAATAAATAAATAAAACCCTAATCACCTCCCCCTCCAAAAAAAAGAATAAAAAAATAAATTTAAAAATGACACAAATGAACTTATTTACAAAACAGAGACTCACAAACATAGAAAACAAACTTATACTTACCAAAGGAAAAAGGAGGGGGGTAGGGATAAATTGGGAGTTCAGGATTAGCAGATATAAACTACCATATACAGAATAGATAAACAACAAGGTCCTACCATGAAGCACAAAAAACTATATTCAATATCTTGTAATAACCTATAATGACAAAATATATGAAAAAATAATATATATCTGTATAACTGAATCCCTATGCTGTATACCAGAAACTAGCACAACATTGTAAATCAGCTATACTTCAATAAAAAACAAAAAAACCCAAAACTCTCAGCTCTTTATGGAGGGTTACAAGGTGCCAGGCAACAGGCTAAGCCCTTTCTGTGGATTATCCAATTCAGTCTTCACAGCAGCCACGGGATGAGATGCTCCCACAGGCCAGGCCGCTGGAGGGAGACTGAGGCTCAGAAAGGTCACGGCGCCGACCACGTGTGGAGGGGAGGCAGGCCCAGCAGGCCGAGCGCGGGGGCTGTGCCCAGCATCGCCAGAGCCCGCCTGGTGGCCAGCCTGGAGGCTCAGGTGTGCTCCCTGGGGCCAGAGCCACCACACTGATACCTGAGCGGTTCTTTGAGTGTTTGGTTCCTTTTGGCCAAGACATGACTTCATCAGCCTCAGTCTCCTTCGGTCTGGGCAGCAGACTTGGTCCTTGCCCGTGGTGGGCAAGTGGGTGGCCCTTGGCCCTAATTACCTGAACGACTAGCCCCTCCAGGTTTCCATCTCTGCCTATGTTTCTCCCTCCGGCTCCCCCTCGCTCGCTCATTCTCCTGCTCTCTCTGCCAGCAGGCAGCCTGCAACCACCCACCGAGTCCAAGAGGGCTCACTTAAGCAGCTGTCCCTCTCTTCCGCTCTGGGGACGTGTTCTTAGTGCAGGAGCCACCTGACAGGGTGGGGCAGGGGCTGTCGTGCTCAGGTGACCTGACTTCCCCTCACCCAGGCCTCCTACAGCTGCCTGAAATGCACCCCCCCAAACCTCACTGCCTTTACGTTTTGTTCTCCCATCGCCCCCGCCTGAGCACAGCCCCACGGACCTCCCCCCGTCACCCCACAACCTGCAGCCCCTCCCTCTGCACCTGATTCCACTGCATTCATTGTGGGCATTAGGGGTGTTCCTGGCTTTTGGGGGGCTGTCATCTTTCTCACCTCTTGGATCATAAACAGATTCTCTCGGAATGCCCTGCAGTGCCTGGACTGTGTTCTTACGTGGTCATCATCCAGTAAGCAAGAAAGGACCTCCTCCCCTCCTCCCCGCTGGGGGTGGGGGGAGATGCCCTCTTCTGTCTGGGTACTGGGCAGAAGCCTCCTCCTGGATGGCGCTGCTGTCTGCGAGCTGGCGCCTCTCTCTACCAGCTTCAGAGAGAACACCCGTTACTTTAGAAGGAACCTAGGGCCCCACGGTAAGCTCAGAGAATTCTTTTATTTCCAACCCAGTGAGATGAATCCAACACGTGGCCACTGTGCGATTCTGGAAAGGGCCGCCCGGGACTAAAGGGCCAGCAAACCAATGGGCGCATCATGACAAGACAGCAGGCCTTCCTTCCTGGCACTGACCTGCGCTGACCACACAGACGGTCAGCCCTCTCTCAGAAACTCACAGTCTATGGATGGTGCCTAAGATAACAATGAAGTTCAAGGGTGTACAATTTGCCCATTTGATTTTTTCCTTCTCAGTGACTTTCCCTGGTTATTCTCCACAGCCCCAACAACGGGTGAGCCCAGCCACCCATCTGGGCACAGCTGATGCTCGGCTGAAACAGCGGGACTCAGCCCCGGGTGCCTGCCTCACCTGAAGAGCTTTCCCAAAACACCGATGCCTGGGCCCTGCTCTCCCCGCTCTGAGTCCTGTTGGTCTGGGAGGAGGCCTGGCCATCAGTACTTTTCCAGTCCCCTCCAGGTGACTTTAACCTAGAGCTAGGACTGAGTCACTCATGAAGGAGTCACTCTTCGCTGACTCTTTTAAGGACAACATTCATACAATGCAGCTAAGCCTTCTCAAACTTGAATGCGTGTACAAATATTCCAGGCATCTTGTGAAAATGCAGATTCTAATCAGGCAGGTCTGGGGTGTGGCCTGAGGACCACACTTTGAGCAGCAAGGATGTAGCTGGTTTAGTCACCGGGTTGTTAGGCCAACCTGGCCCAACTGTGCTCCTGCGGGCTGCCTGTTGGACAATTCTGGTTCCTCGAAGTCCACTCTTTCCTGACAAGCTCTGCTCTGCCCGCTCTTGCTGGGGTCTTAAATTCCTCAATCTTCCACACTGGAATTACCTCTCCCTGTCCTGTTTTCCTAATGCCTTTTATGTGAAATACCTTTAAAACAAGAATTATAATCTCTCGTTACTTAGAATTACTTATGCTCTGCCAGCTGTTTCTGCCATGAGGTTGTGAGACCCTGGAAGGGGGACACGCACATCTCGTTCCCATCTGTACTGCCCTCCACCTAGTGCCATGCTTTATAAAGAGTAGAGGGGTGTGGAAGTATTGGCTGAAATGAATTTGCAGAAACCCATGACAGGCTACGTCTTCTACTTGACAGTTATTTTGCTAAAGCGGGGACGGAACCAGCCCCCAGTATTGCAGATATGTACACAACAAGGCAGCTTGGTTTTGAAACAAGGTGGAGTGACTGGCTGAGGGCTTATGCATGCAAAGAGTGCCAAGGAAAAGAGAAGTTAGGTAACTACTCTGAATTCCCAGTGCTCACGGGCTGTTGAAGGAAGCTGGTCCCAACAGCGCTCAATGAACTTACTGCACAAACACAGACGCAAAGCAGCAGATACGAACAGCTAACACGAGGAAGGCTCAGGGCTGCTCTGCACGCTGCCCAGGAAGCACACAGACTCCGGCGGACCCTTAGCTACTTGGGTTTGGGGGAAACACAAGGGAAACAGATGGCACCAAATTCAGTTCTACTTCCAAATCCTTTGGCTCTGAGCCAGAAAGAACCAGCCCCACAGCTGCGAGGCGGGAAAAACGGGAAAGGGAGTGGTCTTGTGCCTCTTGGGTTATCTGGCACTTTTGTTTCTAGAATTTGTTATATAGAATCACAGGCACTGCCACCACTTGGTCTAAAGAGATCGGTGACCTCCAGATGGCTAGCTCAAACTCCCTAATCTCTGTAAGTTACCCAGCAAGGTGGGGATGTATGAAGAGAGAATGAACCATTTGGAGGAGACTTTTTAAAGGAATGGTTTGGTTTGGTCTAAATATTTAAATAAGAATTGTCTACCGTGCCAACGACCGAGCAATGCTCAAGTCCCCTGGGTGAACAGCGCCACCCGTGCCATCACTTAGAGCGACCCTCCTGCCCCCTTTCCTCTTCCTCCCCGAAGTGGAACACTTCCTCCTGCCCCCTTGTAGCTGTTTCTGCTCCACTGAGCCCCGATTCAATTGTTTTTAATTCAAAGTCAAACCAACATCTATGAATGACTAATTAATGATGGAGCATCTACTCTGTGGTGCTAAGAGGTTTCAAAATCTCATGTCCAAAGCCGCCCAAGTATAAAATATTAAAGTACAAGTTCACCATAAAAACAGAAGGGAGCTGCCAATCCCATTAGTACCATGGTTAAGTTTTTTGATAAATGTAGAAAAAATGTCTAAGTAAGGGGATCTTCCACGCTTCATCCCTACAAGTTGTTGAGGTTCCGGACAAAAAGCTATATAGCAAAACGCCTGGATTTTCATTTCCACCATCTGTGATGCAAGGGACGAACAACCAGCTTGAGGCTCATACCTGGTCCTGGGGGGCCTCTCATTCCCGGGGGCCCCATGGCTCCTTCTGGTCCTCTTGGGCCTGGTACCCCAGGAAGGCCCGGGATTCGGGGGCAGGCATCCTCGTCTGCAGGTGGCCCAGGTTCACCTGAAATTGGAATCACCACTCGTGTGAGGGACCTAAACTCCTTCTGCTGTCTCTGCTGGGACGGGCTTCTGACACTACGCTGAAATCTAGAATGTTCAACAGTGCAAAGCATTGTCTTGTTCACTATGTGCTGCATGGAAACTTTTTCCTAGAAAGCTTTTTGCTGAATGAACGAAGGACTGAAAGAATGAATGAGCAGATAGGATTTCAGTCAGAGGAAGCAAAAGAATGAAAAGTATGAAACAGTGAAAGTTGGCTGAGATGGCACTAGTTTGGGGGCCTTCACAGGATTTACAATCTTTGGGCCATTTCTTACTAGGTGCCAGCATGGGGGGAGGGACCAGTGGGTTCCTAAAACCCAGTTTAATGTTGCTCTGATTCATTAGCCTACACTGCGGCCAGCTGGGCTCCCATGGAGTCCACTACTCAAGGAGACAGAATTTCAGGACTGCTAGTCACTGAAGCAGTGACTTTCAACCTGAGTGCACGCCGGAATGATCCAGGGAGTTGTAAGAATACTGATATCTGGGCCCCAGCCCAGAAATACTGCTCTAATTGGTACAGGATGTGGTCTGGGCAGTGCCCTCAAGCTTGATTGCAGAATAAACCCATCTGTGGAGCTTTTCAAACGTACTGATGCCGGCACTCCAGTGGGACTTATTAAAAAGGAATTTCTGGGGGTGGAACCCAGGCATCACTAATTTTTTAAACTCTCCAGATAATTCCAGCGTCTGCCAGGGCTGAGCACTGCTGTAAAGCTGTGGTTCTGATGTTACCACAGCAGAATCAGGCTTGTCAGAGCCCAGAGTTTCTGAGTTAGGGGGTCTGGGTGGACCCCAATATCTGCACGTCTAACATGTATGTAATGTGCCCAGAGGAGGCTGATGGAGCCCTAAACCACCCAGGTTTAAAATGTTTCTTCTTCTTGGTTACATTCACTTCTTTTAAGACTTTTTTTTTCCCCTAAATCTTCATTCAGTCACCCTGCAAACATTCCACAAGGGAAAAGAAATAATAATAACACCATAATGATACCAGCTAACACTTACTGGATGCTTCATCGGGCATCAGACCTCATGCTAAGTGCTTTGTGATTAAATTCTCCCACCCAGCCTGTGTATGAGTGTGTGTGTGCGCTACTGTTATTAGAATGTTACGGGAAAGGAAACTCAGGCTTGGGTGAGTAAGTGACACAGTGAATACACAGCACAGTTTAGATTAAAATCATAAACCATAAACTGCCTTAAGAACTCAACATCTGCATGATGAATTCTATGAAGTGCAACATATTTTAAAACACACTGTTTTATTAGTTATGGGTTTCTTAAAATCCATGCAAATTTGCAAAATAAGTTTGAGAACAACAATGATAAAGCAGTGAGAAAATCCTCGAAAACATGGCCATAATGAGAACATAGCCTATACAGTGGTTCCTGGGTCTGTGCAAAATGGACTTGAACCCTATAAGCTGTTTGGAATTGAACCCCCTGTAAAATGTTGTATGAAACCAGAAGTAACACCAAGTCGGAGGCGTTTTTACAGACTGTACAGTTTAATGTAAAACTTGTCTTTTCTGCTCTGGGTGACTTGAGAGCGATGTGTGTGGGCACTTCCTCTTTTCCCTGAATAATCGGGTGCATGATGGTGGGAATTTACCGGTGCAGGTGGAGTGGAGGAAACAGGTAAGTGAAAGGGGGTGGGCGGGCAGGGGTTTGGCTGATAATTCACATGTAGGGTGTTGATGCTATTTCCGGTGAGTTCATACACTCAGTCACAGAGTAAACACTAAAAGGGCTGAAGTGAAGACACATTAAATACACGCTGGTAATTTTTAACTACGAACATTTCTTAAAATTCTGATTTTACTTTTCTTTACTTTTTGATAAACCAGAAGCTGAAAGAAAGGGGCCGAGGCATCTCTTCTAAGGACCCTAAAAATAATCCACAGCATCTCTATTCAAGGCAACGTTCCTTAGGGTTAATAACAGACGCCTGGAATGAACACATTCACGAGTTTCCTTTTCTTCTTTGGAGAAACTCTTTTTATTCTCTTTGAAAATGCCAGCCACAGAATAGTATGTTCCCCTCGCACTGTGGAGGATTAAATGAGCACTGAGCGGAGAAGAAGAATAATAGCATTTTCATTTTTACACACAAAGAAATTTTCTCCTTGAACATGGACTTCGGGCTCGAGAGGAAGGCTCGTCACCGCCCCTCGCGGGGTGGCTGGGACCCAGCTTTTCATGTTGCTGATACAGCTTGTTTTAGGGACGTTCTCTGTGTTTATGTTGTAGGCTTCATACAGGAAACTTACACTGGCATGTACTGTAGCATTTGACAGAGAGAGTGCTTGTACTCTGTGCCTGAATGGAAACTATTTAAGCTGAGTACCTACATTGGCTTGACAACCTATAATGAGGCTCGACACGGGGACCCTCTAATACGGGGTTGCTGTATCCGTACCGAGAAGCAAAGGCATTAAAACCTAATATAATTACAGCACCTCATCTAAAAAATTAACAAAGCTTAACTCACAAAGATAGTAAAAAAAAAAAAAAAAGAAAAGGCAAGTATGGAAATGACTGGACACAAGATTTAAAGGAAATTATTAATTTTATGGCAACGCTTACCTCTGGAACCTGGAGAGATCCAAGAAACGAGGCCACACAGCGATTTTCATATGGTGGAGAGAGATTTTAAATGCGTGAATTAGGACAAAAGTGAAACAGATCATCTGAGAACGTAAATACTGATTTGAGGACGGTACTGATGATAAGCAGATTGACAGCATCTTATTTACATAAAAAGTCCGCATCACCATTATTGACAAGAACAGCTGTGATTCACGGAGTTTTCGTATCTAGAAAGACCTGAAATGAAACTCTCGCACAACGCAAAATCCGAGTTGATTTCTTACAGCAAATATGTCCTAATTTAATGTATACCGGAAATTGCATTCATTTGAAGGCTTCTGAGAAGTCCGTATTAATTTGCCAAGTTTAGGCACAGAAAGGAAATAAGGGGTGAATCACAGCATAAGCTCTTTGTCGTGCTGTTCTCCGATCCATCATAAAGCAACGCTTCTTTCTTATTCTTTGGCCTTGAGTGCTAATTTTGGAGATTGCAAAATGTTCTGAACTGACTCCCTAACATTGATTTAGGATCTTGAAGAATATTACTTCTGCCAGTCTCAAATACACAGGTCTGTTTGCCCTTCCAACTCTTCCTTGGCTTATAATGATTCTACAATGAAAACGTGTTGTCTGTAGAGCTTAAATCGAATAGCTTTTCATCTTCATAGGAGCTAATGTATTTTACAGAAAAAGTTAAATAAAACATATAGGAAAATCAATGGGAGGGCATTCAGGGACAGGAATTGAATTACAATCTTCGTATCCAATAATCAAATCAGTCTTTGCCTCTTATGTGAGGGAACACAGATTTATTTACCTTAGAAAAATGTAAAAATCAAGTCCTAATTTTCAAACTTCCTTGTTCTGTTAATAAGTTAAGTTTCTCAAACCTGAGACTTCATAGTGTGGCCTGAGATAAATCTAATCTTTATCCAAAAGGGCTTAACTTATTAGAGTTTGCTAGTAATTTCAGAGCGATTACTTTCTGAAAGATGACCCTCGTCGTAAATATCTGAACCAAACGCTGTGTGTAGGCTGCTAGGTGAAGGTGACTAGGCATCAGAAGCTTACCTGGAGCACCCGAGGGCCCTCGTCTGCCTGGAGGTCCAGGTAAACCCTTCTCTCCAGGGGGCCCAGGAATTCCATGTGGCCCCTGCGGCCCTGGGAATCCCATTGGTCCTAAAAAGAATATATGAAGACAAGGACATGGGAATGAAGCAGAATAAAGACAATGACAGTTTGCTGGGCTGCACTCAGAGGTTCACTTCGAAACAATGCAGGACAAAGTCAGTCTTAGAGTGCAGAGTAGTCCCCCACACGCTTCTGCAGGGCTGCGAAGGGCTGCGAAGGGCTGCCTCTGTCTGAGGGAAACACATCGAAAGGACTTTCATTCTATGATCAAGACGAAACTAAAGTAGAGTGAAAAGCTCAGTAATCCTGAACTTTCTCCGGAGACCATCAAAGGGCTGCAACTGAAGGGCAAATAAGGACAGGTGTCCCCCTGCCTGGGGACCACATGCCTCCCGGGCCCATCTTCCCACCCTTCTCTTGCTCACTCTCTGTCTCAGCCACACCGGCCCCTCCGTGCCTCGCACGTGCTGTTCCTTCTCTCCTCCCCATCCACAAAGTCCTCCTCACTCTGCAGAGTGCAGATCACGCCAGGGAAGCCCTTCCTGGAATCTTAACCCAAGCCCAGCTGCCTTTTGATAAGCACTCAGAGGAGTGTGCTGGCTACTCCACTCAGAGCATTTACCTCAGTCTGTAACAATGGATCCTTTAATGTGTGTGTTTCTGCCTTCCCCTATGAAACCCCGTGCTTAACTTCATTAGAGCGAGGACTCTGTTTAAATGTGTTCACAACTATACTTCTTTAGGTTACTAATAGATATTTATGGAATAGATCAAATACTTCCCATCGTGTAAGTCTTAAAAGGCTAACTGAGGAAACTGCCTCATCCTTTTTAACAGTTAAGCACTCTTTGGCCCTTATTGCTCCAGTAATGCAAGTTAAGAAGCATGATTAGTGGTTCCACCACTATTTCTAACTCTTGGTATTTATATGGCTTGCTACTTCCCTAATCCTCAAGTATATTTCCAGGTGGAGGTTCATTCTCTAGGGTACCCACTGGGGAGGAGGACTGTCTTATTTGGGAGAGGAACAAGGTTGTATAGCCAGCCCCCTCCTCCTTCCTCTTAGTGAATACAGTGCTGTCATGTCTTTCCATTTCTAGGGCTTAATAATTGGAAGCCCAAATACCTGCAGACATAAGCCACATTCTCTAAAATTGATTTTATAGCTAATAAAGACAAAAGGGGCTGCTGTGTCCTGTTGTAGAGGTTGTGCACTGCACAATCCCATGGACGCCATTTGCATCATAGTCATGGCAGCCTCGTGGTGATTTTGACCTCCCCTCTGCCCTAGTCATTTGTCTTATTGCACATTTGGTTCAGAAGTCGGGCAGGGTGCTAGTTATTGGGCTCCTGCAAACTTCGACATCTGCTCCTCTCTGGTATCCAGCTTCCTTATACATAAGGGAGGTAAAATGGATAATCACTGTTGGACTCTTCTCAACAAAATATTCTATGAACCTAATAACTCTAAAATTCTCGTGGCCAAGGACTAAAATCCCCAAATATTAGCAGTTCGGTAAAAATTAATTAAAATAAATATTTTAGCCTTCAATAGTAATTGAAGGAATTCAGTAATGAAGACCCTTTCGTGAATATGAAAAAGCAAAGTTGGCAGACTAAAACTGAACTGTCCAATATAGAAGCCACTAACCACATGTGACTAGTGAACACTGGAAATTGGCAAGTCCAAATCGCATTGTACTATAAGTATAAAATATACACCAGATTTCCAAGGCAGAAAGGAATGTCTTATTTGGGAGAGGTATTAGGTTTGTACAAGCAGCCCAAATTATCCCTTTGATAATTTATATTTATTTTATGTTAAACTAATATTTGAATATATTATGTTAAATAAAATATGAAAGTTCATTTTATTTCTTTTTACTTTTTAAAATGTGGCTACTACACCTTTTAATTACATGTAGCTTGCATTAATTTTCTACTGTTCAGTTCTGGTCTAGACAATTGTCAAGTGTATTATTAGGGGCTAAAGATGAACTTGTGTTTCTTCTTCTTACTTGTCCAACTGTTACCCAAACTTTAGGACTCTTCAGGAAAGCCAGGACATTTTGGAAAATGTAGTCACTATTTCCATAGGAAATGAGAATTCTCTCACAGTGGTGCACATCCCAGACCCTCAAAGTTCAAATAACGGAAGTCAGATTTGGCTACTTAAAGAACAACTTGCATTCATACCTTTCTGGCCGTCTTTACCATCACATCCTGGGAAGCCTTTGTGTCCTGGAGGGCCTGGCGGGCCGGGAAGACCTGGAGGCCCCGGCAGGCCACAGTCACCTGGTTCCCCTTTCAGAAGGTCAACGCTCCCAGGGGGCCCTGGAGGTCCAGGTTTTCCTGACCACAGGGAATAGGAAAAAAAGTTTCTTTCACTCAAAGACAAATGTGCGTGCAGGCTGCCTGAGAGCTTCTAAGGGAAAGTAATTGAATGATTTACAGTCAAGGATGCAAGGAATTAGAAGAAAAGGAAAGTCAAGTGCATCAGAGGTGAAACAGTGTGTCTCAGGGAGCCCCAGGTGAGAAATGATGCAAGCAGTCTGTTAGTCACTGTTAGACAACGTGAGCTAAGCAAAGCCTGCCTTCTCCTCAGAGCCACTCCTTTGGGAAGTATCGGTTTATGGTTCTACTTTGCATTCCCACCCCACTGCTTTAACACAATGGATGGAAGGATGGGTGGATGGATGGAGGGAGGGAGGGAGGGAGGGATGGATGGAAGGCAGAGAGATAATAGGCTTTTGAAAAAATCTGGCTGATGGAAAAGTAATATCCGCTCAATTCAACTTAAAATTCTATTTGAAAACCAGTGTCTACACATGGGAATTGAGCCCAAATTCTATTCCTACTTAGCTTCAATACCTCTAGCACATTTTTGAGCATTTTTCAGCATTTTTCTTTTTTCTCCAGTGTAAAATAAGATTATGTATTTTACCCCATTCTTACTAAATTCTAAAGATTGAAAGGCAGTGGGTTTGTGCTTCTCTGGAAGAGCTCTGTGAGCTGGTGGGAATGTGACTGTCTGCATTTGGCAAAACACTGCACTGAGCTATGCTCTTTTCCCAACTCCCTGACCTGCTTGGGTCCAATCTTACTTTGTTAAACTTGCTAGAGTTTGTGCTGGTGAACTGATGAGAGGAACAAAATGTACTGTTAGCAGGCACGGGAAGAGACTCTGCTTCTGTGTGTGTGTCAGGCCTGGGTCCTGTCACTCTGGGCCAGCGGACATGCTGTATGTGCAGGTGCTGAGACCAACAAATTGATGAGAGAGCCTCCTGCTCGCCACTTCTGCACCCTCTGCTCAGCGTCAAGCCAGCGATGGGAAAAGTGTTTCTCATACCTCTTGGACCATCGGGGCCAGGAGGTCCCTGATCTCCAGGCAGACCTGGGTCCGGAATGTCACCCTTAGGAGCTCTTCCTGGGGCACCTGCGGGACCAGGCGGTCCAGCTCTCCCTGGAGGGACAAGGTCAGATGTTAGTCTTATTACATTGGAAGGTTTGGATTTAGTCATTGAGAGAAGGGCAAAGCATGCTGCTTCTTACCTGGGGGGCCTGGGGGGCCTGGGGGACCTTTTTCTCCAAAAAGTCCTGGAGGAGAAATTCCTGGGCTCCCGGGGTCTCCTGGCTCCCCTTTTGGCCCAAGTATTCCCGGTGGACCTGGTGGGCCCATTTCATGTGAACCTTAATGAGGAAAACAGCATTAGCACTGCATCTTCTCCTGTGTGTCCCTGTTGCGGTGTCTGCAAAGAAACTGCGTCCAAATAAGCACATGACGGGGAGCAGCCGGTTCTTCTGGGACCAGCCACTGGCTGCAAGGGCTATCCAAATGGCTGCGACCCTTCCTGGGTTTGCCATCTACTCTCTTAAGACCCATCACACTTGTCCAGCAGAGCTTTGGTTTATTTTATGGCTATTTCTCAGATTCAAAAACACGACAGCTTCAACCTTTCCAATGGAAAGAGTGAAACAAATGAGATCTGACAGTAAGTGACTGTGAACAAACTGGTTTGAAATTCAGTGGCGGAAACTGGCAAATACATAGAACCATTGTGCAGTTTCACGGTGAAAAGGGAGAACTTCACTGGTTTCTCGTGGAGGGCACACGTTTTATCAGACTATTCGGAAGAGCCACGAAACGCATCCTAAGTGACCTAAATGACTTCTTGATCTTCCAAACTGTATAAAGGTTTCGTCCCTCCCCAGCGACAGATCCCAGCCCAGCAGCTCGACAGTTCAGTCCTTTTCCTGCAGTCCCTCGAATCTGCAAGTCTGATTCCAGCTACTTTGCCTGATTGTGACTATTTCTCTAAAAGTAATGCAACCAACGTGCACTCTGTTGAAACAACAGAACCAGCTACAATGTGGATGATCAGCTCCGGTGTGATATCAAAAATCACAGCCATGTGTTCAGGTAACTTGCTTGAGCAGCAGGCTATGGAGGGAGGCTAGAAATGCTAATTAGACCCGCGTGGTCGTACTTGGCATCACTACACTTAAAACAATACCCCCAAAGTCCCGACTACTTTATTTGCTATTCATAACGTTTTGAAATCTAGCTCCAACTGAGCGATTATTCAGAGTATTTTTAATAGGTAGTCACCAGCAGTATTAACAAAAGTCACTGTTAATCAACCATTCCTTCTTAAATAGGGGTTTCTCAAGGGTCTTTTTTATTTGTCATCTTCAGCACCAAAAACAGTTTCAACATTCTGTCTCTAAGCTAAACCAGTGTCTTAGTTTCGCACCCAAATCTCGTGACGGGAGGAAACACCAGCGGACTTTCCTGGTCCAGATTGCAGTTCAGCCTCTTACAAAGGGTTTTCTCTTACCTGAAGCACCTTTGGTTCCTTTTTGACCCTTTAAGCCATGCAAGCCGTTCAGGCCCGGCGACCCGGAAGGACCTGAAACACATCACAGGCCTGTGACCCACAGGGGAAGACTAGCTGGCCAAGGTCTCTGGCTGCATCCTGCAGGCACCGTCCGGCGGAGGGTCAGCTGATGGGGACGGATTTTCCAGGCGGGAACCATGAGATCTCACCATCTAAACGTCATTATCAGGGCGGAATCCATGCCAGTGGGTCATCATTTAGCACCTTCATTTGATGGTTGTTTTCTGTTAAGATAGCTTAACACACACCTTTCTTTGGTTTTAACACGCTGCTGGTGGTTTATGACCACACCACGAATCTCTCTCACCAGATACAACCCAGAATTACTGAATCTTGGTATAGGAAATGACCTCCAGTTTTATGACAATAAAATCATCCTTGACAAGGAAAGAGACAGGGTGGGAGCAAAGCTGGGCTACCTTTCCCCCAGACTCAGAACCTTCCCACGCCACCATGGTCGGTACATTCTCCTTTCTTCAGAATCTAGTCAGATAAGTGCCATAGGACAATGAGGGCAGGGGGGGCCTGTGGCATTCTGGGGAATACAGGCCTGATTGTTTTTTTTTTTAAGCAGAAAAAACAGGCCTGCAGGTCAAGTGTGGCTGTAGCTAGTTCTTTGCAACTACTTCTTTCAAAGAGAACCATTCTGATGCCTCTTTACAGAGACTAATTTATATCATGATGATCACTGAGAATGCTGTTCTCTGTACTCAGACAGGATCTCCTTTCAGAACCTTCTGTCAGTTGTCACTGTCGTTCTCCACAGATACACTCATCTGACTTTACAGACGTTGTCACTGAACACTGAACACCTATACATTTATAGAGGTCTTTATATCTATACATATAATATACTTACTATATATAATATGTATATTTATAATATATAAATCTATAGATTTACAGGGAAGAAGTGAAGGGAAGGAGGAAGGGAGGGGAGAGGCAGATCTCTAACAGGAACGGAACATCTCCTGGCTACTGATTCTTCTGCCAAGTGCTTCACGCACATCTCACTGGTTGATCTGGGAAAAAGAATCTTCTTTCCAGCCCCAGGCAGCGCCCGGTCACCTTCCTATTTCACGAATGGATTTCCATCCAGGAACTGTTCTTCTCATCCAAGGCTAGAAGCCCCTCAGTGCACAGCCAGCCTTTCACCCACTTTAGGGTCACATGCCTCTACCTTGCCGTCCTCACACCCTCAGCTGATGACTAACACCCGGAAGTGCCCCTCATCCTCCCCAGGACACCCGCACGGAGCTCCCTTGATGCCCTTCAGCCGGTGCCCAGCCCACTCTGCACAACGCACCTGTCTGCGGTGACTGGTTTACTTTGAGTAAATTAGTTGAGGGCAAGATCAGGTCTTGTTAGTCTTTCTACCCACCATTCAGCATATCTCCTGACAGTAAGTGCTCAATAAACATTTGTCGAGTGAGTGAATGAATGAACGCACAAATTTGGAGCAGGGAGGGTGAGGGACTGGATGGGTAGAGAGAAAGTTATAAAAAAGAGTGGACGCCAATCTCTACTTGCACGTCACATCTGTCATTGATAGATTTATGGGCTGTGGAAGATTTGGGGAAGTTAGAGCTATTCCCTGTGTATAAATAACTCAAGTGCTAGTTATTGTCTCTTCATTAAAGCATGTCTTCTGTAGACTTCCTGTTGGAAGATGGATCAGTTAGTTGGTTCCATTTTATTTTTTATGGGTACTTGAAACAAACTTATTCTATTTTTAAATTCTAAATGTTAGATTGCTGCGAATGAGCCATATTCTCTTTATTTTTTTAAGTTGAAGTGTATTTGATTCACAATGTCGTGTTAGTTTCAGGGACAGCGCAGTGATTCAGTTGTAGGTTCATTACAGGTTTAGCTACGTTCTCTTGCACCCCCCCAAAAAAAGTAAATGCACCCTTATTTTCCCTAAAGCTCGTATTTCCTAACCATTTTTACTGGTTCTGGCTGAATTTATTTTCCAATTCTCTTTTCTATTTCTGAGCAAATGTTTCAAGTTTGCACCAAAAGAACACACAGACCTTCTTCATCTGCCAAATTAGGATATTTATTGCCATCTATCTGAAATGATGATACATTTTTTGAGACTACTTCGCTATTTCAATGTGTTTTGATCTCCAGCTTAAGCCACCAGGATTAATGGCTTGGAGGACTTGGCTGGGGGTGGAATGTCTCAGCTTCTGCCAACTCTCCATTGTCACATCAACACATCCAGACCCTGTGCTGTCACCATCCCAGCCCCCCACCACTGCTGAACTGGCCGACTCTTATCTGACCCAACGTTATCTTTCTAAATTGAATGCAGCTACATCTGGGTAGGGTTTTGAGGGCAATTTTTCCTTTTTATTGGAAGCTTTTTATCAGCCCCATCTCTAAATCAGAAAGTTGTTCATGCATAAAATGCATACAGGGCAGATGAGAGGCAATTAGTCTAACAAAGCACATTCCTTGGTAATGAGGATTTTTTATTCACCTCTCTGGTCGTCCTCTTGCTTAACGACCATCATTTGAGGCTGCATCTCACTGCAGCTCACAGGCCGGGGGCCCTCCTCTAACCAGGGAGACTCAAATCTCCCACCCTAGCCGTAATCATAACTGCAGTTTCCATCTGTGTTAGGCAGCAGACTCTTTGGGACCAGATTCCCACTCTGAGGTTTTCCTTTGTTTGAAAGCATGGAAATGCCACTTTATGCCCCAGGGGCCTCTAACGGCCTTTATACTTTTTATAGGGTGACCAACTTGTCCCTGCCTGCCAGTGGCTTCCCTCTTCCAAGCACTGAAAGTCCTATGTCCTGAGCATCCCCAGTCCCGGGCACACCGGGACAGCTGGTCACCCTAACTTTAAAGATGGGAAAGAGAGACCTTTCTTTGTGACTACAGGTAATGGTTGAACAAAGTGGAACACTTAATCAAAACCGATTCTGAAATAAGACTGAATGGTTTTTTAATTCAGAAAACAGATGAGTGCCTCCTAGGAGACGCACAAGATCCTAAGACATGGTGTCTTAACCATGGAGTCTCGGTGCCCAAATGTACTCGGTGACGAGCGCTGAAGAGACAACGAGGAAAAGAGAGAAACAGCCTCTGACTTGACAGAACAAACAGGCAGTTACCCTGAGTGGTAAGTGCTGTGGGGACAGGGCAGGAGGGGACAATCTGGCCGAAAAAAGGGAGGATGTTTCCATGATTTTCACAGTTCTAAGGTGCCTGGCACGTCCATGCTGAGAAAAGCCATTTCCAGGTGCTTTTTTTCTTATGAAATAGTTTACCTGCCACCAAGCAAAATAACCCTGCCCACAGTCCCTACACGTTCTCATGCTGAAGATTACTGTCTTTAGCTTTCCTCTGTCACAGTCTTATTTGAATGCCTAGCTAGGAATCAAGCACCTTCCTTTTAGAGGCATAGGTACTGGAAAATGGAAATCTAAGGATCGAGCTGTTTTTACATATGTCGAAGTTAAATTTTAAATCTGCTTGAACACAAGCAGGACTCAGGATCCATATGGCCTGTCCTGGCCAAGCGAACAACTTTGAGTTCAGCAGCTGGTCTGTTCAAACAAGATAATCAGCCCCCTTGACTTATTTAGAACATACCTCAAATATTTAGTTTCTCAGTTCAAAGTGTTTCTGCTGGAGTGCAGTTCATTTTCCTATCAGCGTGATAAACGGCAACAATGGATTTATACTGTAGACGTTTTCATTCTTAGGAATGTCTCTCACTGTTCTGTGTTTTTCCAAACAAGACTGGTAGTTCCCTGGGCTGTTTGCAGTGAAACAGTGTCACTGCGTGGTCAGGAAGCAACACTGCAGGATCCATCTGTGCACTGCTGTGAATATTTGGGTTGATATATTCATTTTTCTCACCTTCTCTTCTTGACAAACTTACTATTTCAGAGTGCTGAATTATGGTGCAATTGGAAATAATTTTGTTATTCAAGCGAAGTCGTTAGCCGTTAGTTTTTCAATAACATCATACTGAAGTTGGATGATAAATGTAAACTAATTCAAGGCAAGGAAAGAACAGCAATAGCAAAATAAATTTTGTCATTTTTGTCAAACTGGGTGTGTATAATGTCACCAAGCCACTTGAAAATCTTCGCTATTTTCTTAAACTAGGAGAGTTGGAAAAAGTGGAGATACAGCAGAAGTAAAATAGTGGGAAATGTTTTCTTTTGGTTCTTTACCAATTTTGTCTTCCAGACACTCAAAAAAGCATCAAAGACCACCCCACCGGGGCTGGACGGATTGCCAGAGACAGGAAACTGCCACAATAGCCAGAGGGGTCTCCTAAAATAACAGAATGATCATTTTACTTGGAACCCTAAACTTATCACCAATCACGACACTTCATGTGACTAAAAATGCCAGTGAAGACAAGGAAAAAGAAGAAAAACAGTACGAAGATATTTTGTCTTATGATGGGAGCTTTTCCCGTCAAGTTACTTGGCTGCACAGAAATACGTACGTGTACCAACTCTTCAAAATAAATGGCTTCCCTCTCTGCAGAGGCACCAGGTAATATTTATCACACTACTACTTGCTGGAAAACTGGAATTATCTGAAATCTACCTGGTGAAGGAAGAGGTAAGAGTGTGGGAAAAACATTATTTGGATTTTCAAAACAATAAACTGAGTAAGCCCCAAAGAAGGGATTTGCCATTCTTCTGAGAGCAGGTACTTCTTACTTTATCAAAATTTGGTGTATGAATGAGCCAATGAGCAGAAGGTAAGTGGGAAGAAAAGGAAGGAAGGAGACAGAGGAATCTTGGTTACAGAAATCTACCAACTGAGACTTGACCCTCAACCTCAGTTGTTCATTCCTCTATTTTTCCATTAATTAATTAGTTGTAAGTACTTATTTATCTGTAAAAATAAATTTACATATTTTATATACTATATATTTGTATATTGTATTTCTAAATTTATTTAAAATTTTATTTATTTTTATAGATAAATAAATACAATAACCAACCAACAGACTTATGGGGAATCTACTGGTGACAAGGATATAAAAATAGTTCTTGCTTTTTTAAAAATTATATTCTACTTGGTGAGAAAGACCTCTAAGCCAACAAAGGGAATACAACACAGATTGTTATGCTGAAGGTATACATAAAAAACCCATGGAAAAATATTTTTTCCAAAGTGAAAGAAATGGACTGAAAAGGAAGAAGTATCGTGGATGAATGGAGGGGCATAAACATTTGTTAATAACAAATTATATCTATTCTATTCTATTCTATTCTATTCTATTCTATTCTATTCTATTCTATTCTATTCTATTCTGTTCTATTCTATTCTGTTCTATTCTATTTCACCAAACTTATAACCAGTCTGCTATACTTCTAAAGGCCAAAAAACTTAACCGGGAAAAAAGTGTTTCTTTATCAAACAAAGATAATGAATACTAGTTCCTCTTTCTCCTCAGCATCTTATTTTTTCTCTCTTCCTTCCACTTGTCATGACTGGCAGATATATATTTAATATCTATCTCCCCTACTAAACTCTGAGCTCTGCAAACGCAGGAACCATGTCTATTTTCTTCAGAATTGTGTGCCTAGGGTCCAACACAGAATCTAGGACACAGCAGGAGCTAACTGTCTGGGGAGAGAATAAATGGATGGGCCTGAACTTTATGGAAAACACTGGGAGTAGTGCCCTCAGAAACGAGGTGGTGGCAGCAGCATTTCAGCAGAGGCAGGTCAAGACTCTAGAGGAGCACTGCCGAGGAAGACAGAATAAGCGGGACGGATGGGCATCCCGGAAACGAGCCAGGCCCCAGAGCAATGTCCCTGGGATGCGGGAGAGGTGCTATGAACTTGCAGAGCATCGCTGGGCTTGGA